CCGTGGTCCCAACTACACCGGAGGCTGAGGTGGGAGAATTCCTTGAGCCCAGGAGGTCGAGGCTGCAGTGAGCCATGTTTGCGCCACTGTACTCCAGCCTGACTGTCAGAGTGAGATCCTGTCTCAAAAAACAAAAACAAACAAACAAACAACAACAGCAACAAAAAAAAAACTTAGAGAATTTTGTGTGCCCCCAGGAATAGGAATTTATGGGTGTTGATTCATTTGCTTATTCCACAAAATATTATGAAGCTCCTACTATATGCCAGTCACAGTGTATCAAGTTAACTTGAAACCCATTTTATTTCAACCACAAATAGTGCAGATCTTTTTAGAACTTCAGTGTCTGCTTTGTCACTTCCAAAAGGACAATCAGGTGAGTGTCCAGTCTTCAACCCTGAAGAGCACTGAAGAGCATGAAGGATGTTTTTGACCTCATCGTTATTTTCCTGAATATTGGCTAACATCAAGGCAAATAATAAAGTTCCTGTAGTGCTTAGGAAGGCACACTCTGGTGTCAGACGACCTGGGTTCAAACCCAGGCTTTACCACTTATAAAACATGTGAAATTGGGTCATTTTTAAGCTTTGTTCTATGCTTCAGTTTCCCCGTCTGTAGAATAGGCAAATAATAATACTTACTGTGAAGAGCTGTTACGAAGATTAAATAATCAAAACTCCTTGGTGTGCAGTAAGCCCTCAAGGTCAATGTTAACTGTTATTGCTATCACATAGGACTCGATCTAGAAATAGAAAAGATAGGGAAGTTTGGACTGAATATACTGAGAATGTGAGGATATCTCCTAAAAATTGGTTGTCCTGTTTTCACATTTATAGTGTGTGTAGTGGAAAGAACATGAACCGCTTTATTTGTAGTTAAACTTTGCCTGTGCCCTCGCCTGAAAATGGAGCTAGCAATATTGCTGGGACTCTTGCATCTTACGTATGAGAGTGCCTGGAATTTCAATATACAATACTTTTCTTCAGAAAGAGTCAAATACGAGGAAGTAATTCCGTTTAATTAAGAGTGTTGATGAGTTGGGTTCTGGTTAATTGAACTGTAATATGTAAATCAACTTAATAGTGGACTGGCTCTGCCAGATAAACACACAGCACCTGGTGTAGTTTGGTTGCGCACCTTTGTTTGATTTTGAAAAACTCTATCCCTTCTGTGACTTCTTCACATTGGGATCCCTCAACTCAGCCTGCAGCCAGCTTGCATTCTCAGTTGAAAGAAGGATTTCCAGAAGGTTTTAGAAGAATTTTAATTGTTGGACTTGATAAAATTGATTTAAATTAATCCAAGCCAGTTTCAGACAATGGAACAATAGGCTGGTACCTCATCACTCATTTTTTAAATAAAAGGAGAAAAATGGGAAGTGTTCCAAATTGAGTCACAGGCAGTGGTGAGGATTAAATGAGTAAACATCGTGGGCTTTAGAGAGACAGATATTTGATGAGAATTAGAATCCTCAGCATTTTACCATTTATCTTCCTTTGTAGGATGGCTTCCTAGCACTGCACGTGGCAGCTCATCAGGGAATAGAGAAGAAATGACAGAGTCCCTGCCCTTGAGAAGCTGATACTCCAGTGAGAGAAGAAAACAGGCAAAGAGAAAGATGTCACGGTGACAAAGTAACACTGAAATAAATGTAGAAGAGAATTGTGGGGATTCAGTAAGGTGGGAATGAGTAGAGTGCATTGAAGTGAGACTCACCCTGGAACCCTGTCCAGTGATACTGTCTCAGTCGGTTCCAGCTACTATAATGAAATACCATGGACTGTGTGGCATGTAAATAACAGAAACTTATTTCTCACAGTTCTGAAGGCTTGGAAGTCCAAGATCAAGACACCAGCAAATTTTGTGTCTGGTGAAGGCCCACTTTCTGGTTCATAGACGGCACTTTCTAGCTGTTTCTTTATACGACAGAAGGGCTAGCTAGATTTCTGGGATCTCTTTTATAAAGGCACTACAAATTGTGAGGGCTGCACGCTTATGACCTAATCATCTCCCGAGGACCCTATCTCTTAATACCATCACCTTGAGGGTTAGGATTTCAACATGAGAATTTTGAGAGGACACAAACATTCAGCCCATAGCAAATACCAAGCTTTTTATGGATTCATGCTATTTCAGAGAATTGTACTGGTTGGCTGTATCCTTATTCTGATTATTATCACCTTAAAATAGGGATTCTCAATTTTGGGAATTACTGACATCTTGGGCCAGATCATTTTGTTGTAGGGGCTGTCCCGTGTGTTGTAGGATGTCTAGCAGCATCCCTGGCCCCTCCCCACTAGATGCCACTAGCACCTCATCTACTACTCCTCCCCGTGCCCCCTACTTCCTCAGTATGATGACTCCAAATGTTTCCATACCTTACCAAATGTTCCCTGGTGGGCAAATTGCCCCCAGTTGATGACCATTGTGTTTAAAGAATTCATTTCAACTATTTTATTGGCCCCTAAGGCACCAGCCTCCCTCTGAAGCTGTGTCCATGGGAATGCTATCTGTCTGGCTGCTTGTGGGTCTCTCCAGCACTGACTGACTAAGTCACACTGGCAGCCATGGGTGAGACTTCCTCAACGTGCGTGGAGCAAATTCCTACGATGCCAGGCTGCAAGGCTGCGTTTCTGCATTTCTAGGTGTCGGGGGATGCCTTGATTATTTTCCAAAGTAGTCTAAATTTTGTCTCCAGGGATCCTTGCCCCTCCTAAATGGGTATTTTGTTGGAATAATGACAGCTCAATTGTTTATGGAGCCTTTATTTAATATTTGACAATATCTAGGAGAAAGTCACAAACATTTAGTTCAGTTATTAAAATAAAACCTGTAGGGTATCTCCCCAAAAGAGTATCCAGAATCATTATTTTAATTTAAGCATAACTGTAAAAGGGGACTGGGAAACCTACAGTGGGGGAGATAAATTTTCAAGTGTCATTTTAGGAAAACAAAGGCTTTCTTTGCAAGAAAAAACATCCACGTCCCCCCGCTACTTACAGGCTTAATGTTACTAATAAGTTAGATGTCAGATGTATGCCGTTATTGGCAGCTTGCATACAATTTAAATATTTTAGCTTCCATTATACAACTGAATCTACATGACTGACCTTCAAGGACCCCATTCATAAGAGATGAAGAGAGGGAACAGCCAGCTACTTCATGCAAGGGCTGGCCCGCCGACTGGGTTTCCCCACATTGTCAGACACACCACGACACAGGGAGCGCTTTGGAGACGCTCTAACACGGCAGGGTTGGGACGGAGAATGATGAGGCGTGGGGGGCACACTTTTGGGGCAGGGAGAGAGCCAAGGCTTGTTTTTCTTTTTGAAAAATCCCACCTTTGTTCCAAGGGAGAATGAAATACCCGTTAAAACTGGTGACACTGGGAATTTTGTTTTGGCTCAGTTCCTTTTGTTGTGACTCCACGGTAAAGGAGAGGAATCTGGGGTAAGGAGGTTTCAAGCCAAGATGAGAAAGAAAAAGCATGCCTTCCAAGAATTTCTTCTATTGTCTCCCGGAGAATAAATATTTATAGAGAGGGTTCAAGTGAAGTCTGTCTCAATGGTCGTGGCTTTAAGTCTAAGCCTTTGAGAGAGTGCATGTAAAACTATGCTTAAATGAAGGGTGATCCAATTAGGCTTCCCAGGGAAAACCAAGAAACCTCAAGATAATTTCCTATCTGAAATCTAATTGTGTCCTCAAGTGGAATACGAATACCACTTTGAATTACCCCAGATCCATAGACGGCAGCAAAAATGTACAGCCAAATTGGATTCTATTTTAAGTAATTAAGTTATTTCCCTTCACAGGATCTATAATTTGCCTTGAACAAATGTGATTTGCCTCAGAAAGATAAGGCATTGCAATTTTTCCTCCAAAATGGATTTTCTGTGCCAGAAACAATTACTAAAAGTAGACCAAATATTGCCCTAATTATAACCTACTTATTATCTGAGTGTATGCCTGGAGTACCCTGTTTGTGTTCCAATGTGAGGTAGGTATGGCTAGTTTAGAAATTATCTTTAAATGGAAACTGAAGCTGAAATTTACTCAAGAGCCTGGGGTTTGCACAATGGTCATGTAAATAGCAACGGGTGGTTACATAAGTCTCCAAAATCTTGTGCAAAATGTGAGCAACAAGGAGCTTGCTTCAGTAGACCTTCCTTCTGACTCTAACAGTATTAACTTGTAGCTGCTTGGCTGAGTCCTTGAGGAGGTGCTAGGTGTTGCAATAGTTTAAGAATAAAAGTGTTGAGATTTGCATAGAAGATATTACAAGAGGAGTATTTTGGTCATGGTTAATTTTGTGAAGAAAACATTCACTTTTGGATTTCTTTATTAGCAGTTCAGTTGACTTATGCCCAGGTGTTCTGAAGGACAATAGTGGGTAATAGTTAAAAGCAAGAGCTGGAACAATAAACAGAATTAGTTCTTGACTCTGCCCCCTTGAAAGTGCCATGTATGGAGTCTCTGAATCTCAGTTCTCTTGTCTGTGAAAAGGGAGTGATGGTTATCTACACTAAGCTTGGATGAGGAAAGCACACACTGCCTGGCATTGCACAGACCTGGGTTTCACAAGTGGATGGGGGAGTAAAATCCAAACATGATTGCAAACCTTTTCTTCTTTATACATGCTTATCCTTCTGAAAGATGATCTTGCATACAAATGGGTGCTGGCTGGCCATTTCTAAACTTTCATCTGAATTTAAAGTGGTTAAGGGTTCAGATTCGTAAGTCATGTTACCCAGTTTCAAATACAGGCTTTGCTACTTACCACATGCCTTTGTTACTTAGGCTTTCTGTGCCTCCGTTTCCTCTTCTGTAAGATGTAATTAGTAACAGAAGCAGAATCTATCACAGAGTTGTGATAGGGGGTAAGTAAAATATTACAATGAAATACCTAGGATAGTGCTTTGCCTACCATAAACGTATCTATTATTATTTTTGTCTTCTGCCAGCCAAAAGAATGTCAACAGAAATCAGAACATAACACTAAGTAAGTTTGACATGTACTTTTATTAACAACTTAATACAAGACTGTACACTGTAGGTGCTGAAATCAACCCACTCCTGAAAACTGAAAAACCAGCATTTCTATGTCACTTTGGGCTTTGGTTATAAGTGCCATCTTCTACAGAAAAATCACATGGTGTAGCCAAACGTCTTAAGAACAGGAAGAAAGAGATGTTCCATGGGAATGGAGAGATTATTTATGCATAAACAGCTGGGGATCATTTCTAGCTTTACGTGATTCACTACACGCACTGGAATGTTCAGTTCCCTTTTCTATAGTCCTACCACCAGACATACAGCGACGAAGAACTTGGCCACAGGTCCTGCCTAGACACACATCAATATGAAACAAAAAAAATATTTATATAAATAAGTCAATTAAACCTCACAAAAACTAAAGAAACACAAGACAAAAATCCAACAAGCAATAAAAACTGTACAATATTGGTCAGTCTTTCATATCTGAAAAATGTGTAACTTAAAAAAAGAGTTCTTTATCGTATAAAAAAAAGTCTTTCACATCTGTGTTAGCTGGAGTGAAAACTTGAAGACTCAGACTCAGTGGAAACAGACGAGTGTCCCCCTCGCTTTCCTTTGGAGAGGATCTTGAGGCTGGACCCTCTGCTCACAGAGGTGAGTGCGTGCTGGGCAGAGGTTTTAAATTTGGCTCCAAGGAAAGCATAGAGGATGGGGTTCAGACAACAGTGGAAGAAAGCTAGGGCCTCGGTGATGGAAATCCACTTGTGCACAGTGTTCTCAAACTCACACCCTTGCTTGATGATTTCCAGGAGGATGAAGGAGTCGATGCTGATTCCAATGTAATAAGGCAGCCAGCAGGCGAAGAAAGCCAGGATGAGGATGACCGTGGTCTTGAGAGCCTTGCGCTTCTGGTGGCCCTTGGAGTGTGACAGCTTGGAGATGATAATGCAATAGCAGGACAGGATGACGATACCAGGCAGGATAAGGCCAACCATGATGTGCTGAAACTGGAACACAACCACCCACAAGTCATTGGGGTAGAAGCGGTCACAGATAAATCTGTCATCTGCCTCACTGACGCTGGCAAAGATGAAGTCGGGAATAGTCAGCAGGAGGGCAGGGATCCAGACACCAACATAGACCACCTTTTCAGCTAACAGCTTCCTTGGCTTCTGACTGTTGGTGGCGTGGACAATGGCCAGGTAGCGGTCCAGACTGATGAAGGCCAGGATGAGGACACTGCTGTAGAGGTTGACTGTGTAGATGACATGGACTGCCTTGCACAGGAAGTTCCCAAAGTACCAGTTTGCCACGGCATCAACTGCCCAGAAGGGAAGCGTGATGACAAAGAGAAGGTCAGCCACTGACAGGTGCAGCCTGTACTTGTCCGTCATGCTTCTCAGTTTCTTCTGGTAACCCATGACCAAGATGACCAATCCATTGCCAACAATGCCAGTCAAGAAGATGATGGAGTAGATGGTGGGCAGGAAGATCCTATTGAAATGAGCATTTTCTTCACGGAAGCAGGGTTCCTTTATGGAGTCATAGTCCCCTGAGCCCATTTCCTCGGTGTAGTTATCTGAAGTGTATATCTGCAAAAGAGGCAAAAGAATGGACATTCACTTCCAATTCAGCAAGCATTATCCAAGTTTAAAAAAAATTCAAAGCAATTTAAAAAACCAATTCAGGCTTGCTTTCTTCAGAAAATTCTGAAGTACTGGACTAAGGGCACAAGAGAATTAATGTAGAATCCTACAACTCTCCTCCCCATCTTTTCCCATAGTGACTTCATTATATCCTTCTTTAGTAGAACCAATTACAAAATTCTTTGTTTAGAACAAAAGGGCGCTGCGATGCTGAGGGTTTCAAAGTCACATCTTGGCTAACTCCTCTGCCCCGCCCACTAGAGGGAGGAAAAAAAACCTTCCTTAGGAGGAAAACACACACACACACACACACACACACACACACACACGCGCACACACACAAAGAGGCCACTCCCAGGCGGCGTGGGGGGTGGGGTGGGTGCTGCGAGGAGGGGCTGTGATTAACTTTTTGTATGAAGTTTTTCGCCAAGGGAGGGAAGAGGGGAGGGAGGAGCACGGGGGGAGGGCGGGGGCGTTGCAAAGACTCATTCTCCTACGGCGCAAAAACTCAATTTTCCCACGCCTGCCTAAACACAAATCATTCTGCGCTTCCAGCAACGTGTAGTGGGTAAAGAGAATGCGGTCTTCAAACGAAGGCCCTTTGGTGCTTGGAGTATACTGGGCGGGAGTGTCAGAAAATGAACAAACGGCACCTCCTCCCCCAAGCGGCCGCTCCTCCGGGGCGTGGGTCTCTTTTGCCATCCTCGTGTTTATCACTTGGTGCGTTTGGGACGTCAGGGAACACGGTATTTTCCTGGGTGGAGAAGGTAACGGGGTCTGCACCCGTAGTCCTCGCCCCAAGTTTCATTTCCTCACTCTCCCGGGTGGCCTCCCATTACCCCGCCACTGATCCAGTTAACCCGGCCAGAGGCGGGCAGCTGGAAGCCTCCAGGCAGTGGGCACGCTGGGAGCCGGGTCGTCCAGCCCCGGTCCGCCGCGGCTGCCCACCACGCCCACACCGACCGGCCGCAAGCAGCGCTGCAGGGGCTCCGCTGGGCGACACGCCAGGCTCAGTCCCACAGGGTGCTGGGGAGAGACTGGGCGGCTCCGCCGCGAGCGTCTTTGAATTGCGCGCCGCTGCAGGAAACCAAAAACTCCCTAGCAAGAGGGTTTCAAAAGGCTTCTGGAAATCACCGACAGTTAAACATCGCAACTGGACTCGGAGAGAGCCAAACGGTTTCCCCACTTGCACCTGCCCGTCTTCGCGGCGGCGACCGGGCAGCCCAGGTGCGGTCCTAACCTCCCCCGCACCCCCACCCCCATACCCGCTCCTGTACCCGGAGCGCGTGTCTCGGGGCTGGCAGCTGCGCGGTGTCAAAGGGGAGGTCAAACCACTCCTCTGACCTCTGCACGATCCCAAACTCTCGAACTGCCGGACACATGCGCGGCCGTGGGGAAGAGGCGCGCTTTGGCCGGCGGAAAGGTTCCCCCCTCAAACCCAAAGCGCGCGGGCGGATCAACTCCTAGCTGCTGCCACCACTCGATCCCCTCAGAGGATCCGCGCGGTGGGTCCACCCGCCTTTCCCGCCCTCCGCCTACTGTGCCGGGACACTGGCACAGCTCCGTGGGCCTCGCAGAGTTTCACAAACACGCACCCAGCGTCAAGAACAGTCACCAGGCGCTTATCCCCGAAGTTAAAGCGGGCGCAATCTCCTTCTGGGAACTCCGCCCAGGCACGCTGCCCTCTGCCTCTAAATTCAGAAAATGTAACTCGCTCCAAGAAATCCCCGCTTCCCCAAGGAAGAGACCGGTGGTCTGAGTCCCGAGGTAGCGCGCACGCCTTTTCTGCACTTGTGCACAGAATGTTCTTATGTTTGCAAACAGCGTGCAAGCCGCCGCGCGCCGCGGGACTCAAGGGGGAGACACATGCAGCCACTGTAACGCTCTTTCCAGTCGTTTCTCCTCCACTCACAGAGAAAAAGATTCCAATCCTGCTCCCCCCCACCCCGGCGCACCACATAGCCATGGTCAAGAAAACTCCTTTCCGTGACCCTTTTTTGGAGCTCCAAGTCCTGGCCGCTTCTGCCCGCTCGGAGAGGGGCTGCGCTCTAAGTTCAAACGTTTGTACATTTATGACAAAGCAGGTTGAAACTGGACTTACACTGATCCCCTCCATGGTAACCGCTCGTTCTCCAGACGCGGTGGCTACTGGAGCACTCAAGCCCTTGGGGTCACTTTGCTACCTGCTGCCGCAGCCAACAAACTGAAGTTTCCAGCCGCGGCCAGACTTTTATAAAAACACGCTCCGAGCGCCGCGCATGCGCCGCCGGGGCGCGGAGGGAGAAGGCGGGGTAGGGGAGAGCGGCAGACGCGAGGAAGGAGGGCGCACGGGCGGGGCGGAGGGGTTCGCGGCTTGGGAAGCCCAGGGGACCCTGCAGTTCGCGGGTGGTCGGTAGTGAGTCTGGAGCGGGACAGGACCTCCCAGAGGCGTTTGCTAAGTTTGAGAAAAGCGGGATGCGCCTCAAGACAGGTGGGAAGCGCGGGCTAGGGACGCGTCTCTCTGTGGCGCGTCCATCCTTGCTAAAGTGGATGGAATTCCTGACTTGGGAATGCTACGGTAGAGACACTGAGGCCCAGGGAGGGGAAGTGACTTGCCAGAGTAACCCAACCAGTAGGCGGCAATGTTGGAAGTAGGGCCAAGCTTCCGACGCCATTCCCCGCGCTTTCAGCACACGCATCCTATTCAGAAGAAAAAAGGAGTAAAGATCCTTCTTTCGGAGGATGTAACTATACGTGCACATTCACAGCATCACAAGGGTCAGGTGCAGATAATTAGGAGATACTTTCAGAAGAAGGTAGGATTTGGCATAATTCTGGAGACTGTGATCAGACGTAGCTGTGCATTGCTCAGTAATTTCATAATAGTGGTAACCAATTCGTGAATAGTGCTTTATTATTCTATAACTATGCTTTATTATAAGAGTAATTTAGCGACCAGTACTTTTTGTAACAGATCACGAGGATCTTGCACAGAATCACTCATTCATTCTCACAACACCGTGTGGGTATTGCCATCACAGAGATGCGTTTAGTCAGATATTTATAGAAGGACGAACTGCGTGCCACGCACTGTTCTAGGCGCTGGGGATCCAGCGTGAACCAGACAAGGCCCGCATGCGGAGGAACCAGCAAATAAGCCCGGAGAGATGAAATGCCAGGGATGTGCAGGGATGCCAAGCCCGGCTTGAACCCAGGTCTTCGGTCCCCATACTCGGCGTCTTCCACGATTTTGAGCGGAGGACTAGCTTTGGCACGAATCAGAAATTAGGTTGAAGAACTGGGCGGGGCGGAGTGGGGGTGGGGGTCAGCGTTTAAAGCGATCCCAGACTGGCTGAGGTTTGCAGTGGGCGCGCAGACAGTGCTTTCCACCTCGCGCCACTTCCCGCCGCCGCGGAGACTGGGTGGGGCCGGGGAGCGAGTGTGGCGCAGGGCGGAGAAACTGCGCCCGCAGGCGGAGTGGCCGCTGCGGCGAGAGCTGGGACCGGGGTGCTTGCGCTGCGACACGTATCTCAGAGGCCCCCACCCCGAAACGGTCCCTAGGAGAGGAATTGCCCAGACTGCACCCTACGCACGACCCCCTTTTTTTTTTTTATCAAAAGAGGAAACATTTCAGTCTGGAGTGTTCCAGAGGTAGTTCGGAGGCAGGGAACCTTTTCTCTAGAGAGCATGACTTTCCCCCTTTGTCTGGGACCCCTCCCTAATGTTGGGGGTTGAAGGTTCTCATCTACTCTGCACTTTCACCGATACAGGAAAGATGATATCCGGGCTGGGAGATGGAACTCTCAGAAACGAACAAGTTAGGACACACACTAATGACCAGATAAAATCAATTCTAATATTACATTTGTGGAATTAAAAAAAAAAAAGAAACTCCAGGTTCTTGGAGGGTGGTGGCTGGAAGAGGTTTCGGAAGCTCCACGCCCCTTCTCACAGGCCTTACATTATGTATCTCTCTCTTCATCTGTATCCTTTATAATATCCTTTACAATAAACGATAACGGTAAGAAATAAAAATGAAAATAAAACCATAAAAACACTTTTACTTTTTTCAAATCTTTAATAAAACTTCAGGATCTTCATATTTTTATAGACACGGTAGATCCTACCTACTGAAGGTCTGGAATTTCAGAACATTTTCATGACTTGCTTTTCACAAAGGCTGGTAGTGGCAGAATCGGTATGTTTTATCCTGGACCGTAAGCTGCACCGTACCTCAAAACTCCTCTCTGCACGATATCTAAAACCTGAAAGGTTAAATCTCCCAAATCTGTCCAAAAAGGGAAAGAGGATAAAACTCGGAGCAAAATGGTTTGCATAATAAATATTTTTGTTGATTGTTGGCAGACAAAAGAAAGCTCCTTCCTTTATCTGAAGACTCCTTCCAGATCTTTTTAGGGATCTCTACTAAAAGGAAGCAGATAATTAAAAGAACAATGAGATGCTATTTGGTGACTACCAAATTAGGCAAAAATCCATTTTTTTTCCAAAGATAATATTTGGTCTCCGTATTTGAAAAGACCAGCTGTCTCTCGCTTGTCACTGGTGGGAATGTGGCTTGGGACAGCCTCACTGGAAAGCATTTTGTATTCAGCAGAAACTTTAGAACAGTAATTCCACTCATAGAAACTTATGCCACAAAGGTATTTGTGGAAGCATTTTTAAAAAAAATAGTGAAATGTCTGAACATCCCTAAATAACCACTGTTAGTGGAATAGATGACAAGGTTTTGGTTCATCCACATCTGAAATTCCATGTGGACATTGTGAATGTTATTTGTGAAGAATTTTTAGTGACATGGGAAAATATTTCTGAAACATTAAGGGCAAAAAGCAGGATTCAGAATTGTGTATGTAGTGTGATCTCAGTTATGTTAAAATATGCATTTGGAAAATATGGGAAGGAAAACCAAAATGTTTGTAGGAGTTTTCCTTGGTGCAGAATTATATTTGATTTTTGCTTTCTTCCTGGGGTTTTTCTATGCTTTCCAGATTTTCTGTAATAGACAATAATCATTTTCATATTCACAAAAAAGCCAACAAATTTTATGACCAAGAGGGATAAGAAGGCCTCCCTTCACATATGTTTCCACTTCTAAAGTATCTACTAGATGTGAGACTTTTTTTCACAATAATTCTTTCCTCTTTTCAAGGAAGGCTTGTTTTCCAATGGGTTAATCTTAAACTTCTTTTGCCACTGGGCTACCTAAACCTAATTCTCAACTATTCTATGATGTTCTTTAAAAAACAAACAAAATTCAAACATTTATTGAGCACTTGTTATGTGTAACTGACCTCATATAATCCCCACAATAACTCTACAAGGCAGGTGCCATTACCTCTATTACATGGTAAAGAAATTAGGGTCTGGAGAGATGAGGAACTGGCCTGTGACCCCGGAATGAGGATCTGCACCCAGTCTGTCTGGCTCTGAAGCCCAGGTCATACTGCTTTGAGTGGCATCCCTTGTGATGTTACTCAACTTTTAAATGAGTGTATGTCATACTCCTATCCCCCCAATATTTTAGGTTCCTTAAAGTGAATGCCCAGATATCCTTTATCCAGCTAGCCCACTGCTGAGCAAATACTGGGCTCCTTAATCTTTTACTGAACCTTTCTTTAAAGAATGAATGACTTTCCTGTGTGGCTCTGGCAACAGAGTCAGGTTTAGGGGCTGTCAGGGATTTGGCAGGGTCCCCAACTTCTCAGGTTGGCTTTAGCCCAGGGAATAACTAGCCTTGGCCACAGTTTGGAGGGGATGCTTACAAATCCAATGACACAGTGGCAAGCATCCTGCCACCTCCTGTTGCTCGCTCTGCAGCTGGTTGATTTGTGTGTTAGTGTGTGTGTATCTGTGTGTGTGTAATGAAAAGCTGTACTCTGTCCCTAAATTGGCTCCATTTTAGCTAGGCAGAAAGCTTAGGAACAGACCTTTCCCAGTGGTGGATGGCAGGAGGCTAGAGAAAGGAGGAGGTGCCAGGAGGAGGTGGATGGCAGCAGGCATTAAAGGCCTTCAGAATACATAGGGTCTTCCAGTTCCTTTGCCAGCCCCTCTCCTGTCTCTTAAAAAAAAATTGATCACTTTTGTTTCTGAAAGAGGAAAAAAGTACAAAGTTCCTTGATAGTAGTAAGGGATACTTAGAGAAAGTTAATGTTTTCCCAAGTGATTAAAACACAAATAAACAAAAAAAACGGAGACTATTTCTCAATGAGCGTGTAATTCTAACACAGGGTTACAAATCTCAAAGAGACAATGGTATCAAATGTCAACTATTTCCAAGCTGGTGTTAGGTGGAAGAAATTGTCCCTTGCCTAACTACACCCTGTCCTCTCCTCCTTCCCTAAATCCTTGTGTCCCCAACACCTACAGATGAAAAGTGACTTTGAAAGCAAACCCAAACCTTCCATCCTACAGCTCTTTACCAATTTAGGGAATTATTACTGCTTTTTGGGGGAGAGCCATTTTTACTCTAGATTTAAGTTATATCTTGAATGTTGAAAAGGTCAGCCTTCACTAAAACGGGATGATTAGTGATTTCCGTCAACGCTTTATAACAGTCAAGACTGGTCAACAAATTTCCTACACAAAGAGAATAAACTAGACTAGTACACAAAGGTAGGCAATTTAGAGCCATCCTGGTAAGTCATTTAAACAAAACAGCCACTTAATTAACAGTACAATGATCATTACTCCACTAGTTCCACTGCCAGGAGGATGATTGTTCACAAAGTTTGCTGTGCTCCTGTGGCAGGTGCTTGTGTGGCTTTATGGGTGTAAAGAACAGTAACAAACAGACTCAGTGCTGTTGCCTCAAAAATTATGGTGTCAAACTGGGAAGGAGGGCACTACTTTAGGAAATCATCGAGTGAGTGAACCCTGTCCTCCAGGGAAAAGGCTTGTCATTGTTTCCCTTAAACCAGTAATTTATTGGTGGTGACCTCAGACTGCTGTATAAAAAGAGGAAGCGCCTAGAGCCCTGTGGACTGTCAAGTTTTATAAAGAGGACTGGGCATCCCATAGCAGAGCCTTGGTGCTCTCAGAAATGTGGTGATCTGATCGCCCATTCAGATGGGCTTTGAGATCTTTCTGAGGTCATTCTTCCAAGAATATTATACTAGCAAAAGAACAGGGTGGGAATTACTTTTGTGTGTGTGTGTGTGTGTGTTTGTGTGTGTGTGTATGTGTGTGTAGGGGAATCCATA